TCCTCTCCTCCCTACCTCCCTTTCCTCAAAGGAAACTTCTCACTTCAGAAATCAGCCAGTGAAACCAATCCCAGCAAGCGATAGAGTTACAGTGCTTTATCCTTGCTACCTAGGCCTTTCTGCCAAATTCTCATTAGGGATGCTGGTTTATCACAAGGCTTCACAGTAAGTCCATGCCAGGAAGATTCATATCAGCCTCGCATCGTATTTTCCTGCTGCATTGCTGTCTTTCCTGTATTTCTGCTTTTGGTCAGATACCTGTAACAGTCTAAATAAAGCAAAACAGTGGATTATATCTGAAAAGTGAGGGAAAGGCAGGCTAAAATGTAACTGGTGGTCATATCACCAAAACACGCCCAGACTACATTTTTTAGGGTGAGGGCACCCTTCAGTAATGCACCAGCATCATAAGCATGCAAATACTTCAAAAAGACCTTTGAATAAAAAACTTTTCCACTTTGATGTATACAGATGGAGAAGCAGAAGTGCACACCCAGATGTGTAACATGACATTGGTGATGTGGAGGTCCCATATCCCTGGCTGAGATGGACTTTCAGGTAAGGACACACCTGTATCCTCTGTGTTGGTCTGTCGTGCTGGACAAGGCAGCTTTGCTGTGCTAAATGGCAGGAAGGGTAACAAGCAAAGTTCCCTGTCCAGGTACTAATCTACAGTGGCTTAGTTGAACATCAAAATGAAGAAATTTCTTCAGTCTGATCAGGAAGATAACCAAATGCATTTCAAAAAGCAGTAATTTCTTTAGAGCTATTGGTGATAGCAAAGATTTCCTTACCCCAGTTTGTTCCAGCTGAAGGCTTTGGGGCTGTTTTAGGCAGAAGTTCATCTTATTACCAAATCTTCTTGAAGTGCACACCCAGATGTGTAACATGACATTGGTGATGTGGAGGTCCCATATCCCTGGCTGAGATGGACTTTCAGGTAAGGACACACCTGTATCCTCTGTGTTGGTCTGTCGTGCTGGACAAGGCAGCTTTGCTGTGCTAAATGGCAGGAAGGGTAACAAGCAAAGTTCCCTGTCCAGGTACTAATCTACAGTGGCTTAGTTGAACATCAAAATGAAGAAATTTCTTCAGTCTGATCAGGAAGATAACCAAATACATTTCAAAAAGCAACAGACAGTACTTTTCTTTAGAGCTATTGGTGATAGCAATGATTTCCTTACCCCAGTTTGTTCCAACTGAAGGCTTTGGGGCTGTTTTAGGCAGACGTTCATCTTATTTCCAAATCTTCTGAGATAAATTTCTCCAGTTTTCACTGAAATTTAGGCAGTCTCAGCTGCCTAGCCTGGAGGACTATTGCATCCCACTCCAACTGCATCCTCCAGAGATACATACAGAGATACCTTCTGACCCTGAAATACTTGCCTCCAGGATCAGGCTGGCTTATTGTCAGAGAAGCAGGTCCTCAGTGTCTCACAAATATGTGCCTGAGTTTGTCAACCCAATCAATTTTCCAAGACTGAAAACTGCAATGCCAATAGCCATCTCCTGGCTTCCAGGCAATGCTTCATCTTTCCATCCCCAGCATCAGATTCATCTTATTTTATCTTACAATTCTCAGATTGTAAGATAAAGCCTGTGCACTCCATTGGGCCCATTCCTTCTTTGCCAAGTCCTATGGAAATTTTGAAATTACTTGTAATATAAAGCAGGCACCAGTATTATAGCCCTGGAATTAAACATAACTTTGGCCAAGATTTGCAGATCTGGTTTTATTTTGTGTATTTGCTGAGCTGTCAAACAACATCCTGGTGTTTAACAATTTTGTAAATGCACAAAACTGGTGTTTTTTAAAAAAGAAATGTCTTTTAAATTGTCTACTAAATCTGAATTCTCAGATTTACTAATTCCTGGGATTTTTTTTTTAATTATAGCAGCACACTGTGCCAATTCCTTATGCAAACAGCAAAAGCCACTCAAGTTGCTCTGTGCTTAAAATGCTCTTACTAGTAAAGCTATTTTGGTATAAAGGGTTTTATTTTTATTGCTTGTGAACTTGATTACAGAGTAATTACAGTTATATTAATTCAGAAACTTAATGCCACTTATTTTGCTTCCCAATGGAAGTGATTATGATGGCAATGGGAGCACTATTGCAAAGACTTACAAATCACTTCAGATTTCTCTTAACAGTCCCTTACAGCACACAGTCATGAAGCACAGTGTGATTTGCTTGAGAATGCCAGGGATAGTAAAAGCAAACAAACTTGATTTTATGCACAAATTCTTTTAATTAAAAAGAAAATTTTAAAAATGTGCTGTCTGCACATTCAAGCCAATGCTGAAAGTGCCAAACTCAGCTGAAAGTGTTGAGTCCCCCCCGACAAAGCAACAGCTGGCAGAGGAATATCAGCACTGCAAATACCCAATGGTCAAGGAAATCTGATCACAGGAAAATTCACTTAGCCTGGAAAACTAATTTTTGATACTGGAAACAATGTAGTTAGGGTAGCAGCACCAGACCTTGTGGGAAACCAAGTGTTAGCTAAGCAAATGATGACTATTTAAAACCTCTCCCTGTGGAGAGAGGTTTGCACTCAAAGAAGGGCATGAAATACACCCAGAGCTTAGCTTATTGTTCATTAAGTTCTGGATCCCCCCTACTGCTGGAATACTTATTCTCAGAGCTCCTGTATTTTCTGTCATTTGTCTGTGAAAGTAGAAACTATGGCTCTGTGTTAAGCATGCAGACTCCTGTGTATTTCTCCCAGGATTGACAGAGGAACCAGGATTAGTTCTTATCTCAGCAAAAAGCAATTTGACCTCCCCGTTTTTCATTGTCCCAGCAATGACAGAGCAGGAAGTAAACATCAACGATTGTTTTGGCAACTGAGGAAGGGCAAGTCTCCTTGGGTACTCTGTCAGAAAAGGAGGAAAACCAACCATCTGAGCCTTTTTTGAGCGCTTTCTGATCTTCCACCTGGTATGCCTGTATAAGTATGCATAAGGGAGAATGCATCCTTACCATGTATCACCAAGTAGAAGTGCCTAGGTGAGGGCACCAGCCTCTAGGTTCAAGTTTCTCTCTCAGTTTGTCTGCCCTGTGAAACCCTAATCATCTTCTACAACGTGGAGCAGCTCAGTAGGAAGAACACAGGCCTGCCTTAAATGCATGTGGTTCCTTCCACCCTAAAATAACCTGTCTCAAAGTGAAACTGCTTGCTTCAGATTTCTCTCTCCTAACCTCAAAGGTTTCATGACCTACAGGAAAGCTGTAGTGTGCAAGCATCCTCCCCGCACCAAGGTTCAGTCCAAAGCCTCCGACATCTTGGGAGGAGATTTTTCCTGACAAGAGGATGAGTCAGCATCAGACGGCCATGTTACATTTCTGGTGTAAACACTGTGACTTGGAGCCTTTACAGGGTAGGAAGCTCCCTTTGACACTTGTCAGAGATTAAGAACAGAGGGGAAAATGTACATGAGGGAGAGAAAGGTTCCATGTGGGTTTCTGTCACTGAGCAGAAGGGATTTATGGGATGGGCCTGTCTCCATTTGTGAGTTACATGTCAGGGCATTCCAACACAGCTCTGGAGAAAGGATCAGTATTATCCTGTTTTTGTAAGAACTGAATTTGACACCAAGATGCAGTACTGTTCCAGCTCATGCTGCAGCCTTCAGTGATGAGTCAGAGCAGCCCCTTTGACACTTGTCAGAGATTAAGAACAGAGGGGAAAATGTACATGAGGGAGAGAAAGGTTCCATGTGGGTTTCTGTCACTGAGCAGAAGGGATTTATGGGATGGGCCTGTCTCCATTTGTGAGTTACATGTCAGAGCATTCCAACACAGCTCTAGAGTGGAGGATCAGTATTATCCTGTTTTTGTAAGAACTGAATTTGACACCAAGATGCAGTACTGTTCCAGCTCATGCTGCAGCCTTCAGCGATGAGTCATTTACAGTATGAAAATGAAGGGAGAAAAAAATTCCTCAGAGGTGGAATAACTTGTTTACTCTGGTGGGACCTCTGCTTAAGAGATATCCACATGGCTGCCAATTTCTTTTTGTGATTGTGTGGTGTGAAGTGCAAAGCTGAGGTCTCTCAAAGGGGCAGTGAATAGTCCGACACAGCTGCTCATGGGGGAGTGTGGGGGCCAGGTGTACTGGGAGAAATCCAGCTGAGAGATAAACCTGTGGTGAGAGCCTCTCTCACAGCACTGTGCTGTGCTGGTGTTTCCCAGGACAGACAGACAAGCTGCTGGGAGCTGAGCGTGCTTTGGGGCTGTAAGGTCTGCACCTGGACTCTTCAAAGCCAGGGTAATACACTGAGAGTGGGATGCAGGTGAAGGAGGTTGAAGCATCCACTCACAGCAACTGACTGCCATGAGAGGAAACCTGACTCACAGCTGCCTCCAGAATATTTGTAAGAGCAGCAATTTTTCACTAGTTGCCAAGTACTTATGTTTTCCAAACTGTTGTGATTTTCCCTTTCTTCCTCAAAACCACTCAGTACTGTCAAGAGGCCAGTCATCCATTCATGAAAGAGAATCTAAGTGTGTTTGAGTTTTGTGAATGGGCTGCTGACCAGATGGAGTCAAAGAAAACCCCTAGAAGTCAGAGTCGGTTTCTGTTCTATTTAGTTTCCTTCACTCACCTCTCCCAGAGATCAACCTCACCTTGGGTGGAACAGGAGAGCCTGGCCAGGCTTAGCCTTGAGCCCACCCCTCAAAAGGAGATATTCCCTCGAAGAGAACAGTGGTTTTTGGGAGCACGAGGGTGGCCAAACACCAGGCTCCAGGGAGTATTAGGAGCCAGAGCTGTCCCTGCCCATGGCAGAGAGGTTGGAACTATTCTGTGATCATTTTCTGAGGTGCCAAGGTGCGTACCGCCTACTGAAATTCGTTCTTCGCCTAATCTGCGTGACTCCCATCCACGCTAAATTGATTTACTTTCAGGTTTTCAATTTTCACAGCTGAACCTCCCTGATATGTAGGACCAACACGACAACTTCTGTCGCCAGCACTTCCTGGAGCTGCGCCCCACGCACCACAAACCCCTTCGCTGGCACTCCAAGGCCAGGCTCGGCACCCGACACCGCCCAGGGCGCACGGGAGACTGAAGTTCCCTCGCGGTCCCGGAATTCCCAGAAGAAGCGCCCTCGGGACCTCCCAGCGGAAGCTGGGGCGGGACGGGACGGGGCGCGGCTGGGGGGATTTTGGTTTTTGCCTCCGCCGAGATCGTGTGGGGCACCCATGCGGCGGCTGGTTTGTCTCCTGTACCTTCCGCTCCTCCTGGGTAAGCTGTGAGAGGCCGGTGGGGACCCTTCCCGATTCCTTCCCTTTCCTTCCTCCCCGTCTCCCTGTCTCCGCGCCGCCCGGGGCAGCGGGAGCGGGGCGGCCACGCCCGCCTCCCCGGCATTCGGACGGGCACGTGTGGCGGGGCCGGGATTTGGGAGAGCCGGGGGTCCCGCGGTGCCCGGGGAGCTGCCCCAGGAGCCCCAGCCCCTCCCGAGCCCTGGGGCGGTGGCTCCCTGTCCGGACGGGCGTCCCCGGGCGCTCGCTCGCTGCCTGCCCGGGGCGGCGGGCACGGCCGGGCGGCGCTTCCGACCCGCGCCTCACACCGGGGCTGTGCGTCGGCCCCCCGCACCTTCCGAGCTCCCCTCGCCGCTGTCGGCAGGCTCCTGTGCCCCGCTTGTTTCAAACTTGTGTGCACGGGAAAATTGCGGTGGGGATGTGGGTACAAGTGGTGTAAGTAAATGATTGCCATTAACTGCTGCTGAAATGCTAGCCTAAGGCCTCCTTAATCCAAATGCCACCGCTGTGCCTCAGGAGCACAGTCCTTACGCGCATAGCCCTTGCACTGGGCTGTGAACATGAGGAGAATAAACCAAATCTGTTCGTTTTTGAAATTGATGATGGATGTGCAAACTTCCTTGTTGTCATCAGAGCGAGCTGCTATTGCTAGATGGGCCAAAAAGCATAATTTCATCTATGAAGACCTTATCATTCCTCTACTCTAAGGGATTGCTTCTGACTTGGGGTTTTTTGTTAGTGGGGTTTTTTTGGTGTAGGTTTTTTTTTTGGGTTTTTTTTTTTTTTTGGTTTTTTTTTTTTTTTGCTTTGGAAGTTTCATGAATGTGCCTAAAATAGGAGCTATTGTATCCCCCTGGTTAAAAAGGAACTTCTCTGCTGCTGAGAGTTCCAAGAAGCTCCCTGTGATTTCCTCCTCATACTATTCCTGAGGTCTTCAATTTGCTTTATTTAATTGATATGGAGAGTTCCTGTTCTGTAAGACAGCGTTGGGGGTCCCGGTGTGCAGGGAGGACCGGGGAGAAGCCAGGACACTGCGCACTTGCATGAGTCTGCCGTGTTAAGCCTTAGCTGCAATTCCTTATCTTAACCAGCAGCGCTTCTGCTGAGATCTCGATGAGTGTGACTAAGGCATGAGTAACTGAGTGTGTTGTCACTTCCTCTGGCTTTACCTTGCTTTATGTAAGTTTAAGGCGCTGTACCTTGCATTATGTAAGCCGGCATGCTGCTGCTGCTACTCAGCATCTCAGTCCACATGCTATAGATATGCCTAGACAAAAAAGATTCCAGGTTCCAAAGAACTGACAATTGAAAGGAAGAGGTGATAGTGCTTGGACAGCTAGAGAGAGTAATTGTGGCTACAGGTATTATAATGTCCTTCTTTAATGAACAACTTAGCTAGTTATGTTGTCTTCTCTGTAAAACTTTGATTCTAAAGTGGCTGATTAGGGTGAGAGATTGGGAATGCAAACACTTTACTGCTCTTCACTAAACTAAATAGCCATGGTTTCATACCATGTTCTTGTTTGTATGCTTGCATTATGTATGTTGACTATGTGTAAATATATCATGTTAATTTTAACAAGGTAAAATAATCCATCATCTCTCCATGTCAAAATCAAGGCCCTGAAAGTCAGACTGATCTAGAGCATGAAATAAATTGGTAGCAGTTCAACTTGGCCTGCAAGTTTCTAGCCTTGCAAACACCTGTTCTAAACACCGGGATGCTGTTGGTAGGTCCTCCTCCTTTGTCAGCCTTCCCCTGCAGAATCCTTTCTCCATCCAAATTCAAAGTACTGCACTTATCCCAGTCACGTTACTGAATGTTTGGAGTAGGGGAGATGTCCTTCATTCCCTTGTGGAAGTCAGAAGTTGCAGTGTAGCTTTGGTGTCTTCAGAATTCCTACTCACCACATAGGGATTCCTGCTTTTTACAATGCCAGGCTAAGTCAGTTTTTTATCTGATGAAACCTCAGACTTTTCAATAACAGCACAAATCCTCACCTCAAGGCTATGGAAGGACTTTGAATTTAGACCTACCAAGAGCATGCTCGTTCAGTTGTTGGAAGTTCAAGACACAGGTCAGTTCAGATTTGGGATCCTGGATGTTGTCTGTGGATGGAAAGAAAGTCAGTATGGTATCTGTGGCCTAGTTTGGTGAAGGAACCCAGAGAGATCTTCTTGTCCTCTCTGTGGAGGAGGTGAATAAATAATACCACGCCAAGAGGGGGATCAGTGCAAGCCACACTTGTGAGGGTGTTCTGTTGCAATGCAGATGGCAGCCAAACTTGCTTTAGCTGCATCAGGATCCTGCCCCAAAAGCAGAGGGGATAAGGAAAGTAAGCTGGATATGTGAACTAGAGCCTCTAGAAGCATTCTGCATCTGTAGTAAGGCTCATCTGAAAGCCACACAACTCTTTCAGTGTTCTGAGCATCAACTCTTTTTTATGCAGTATTAGTGCCTTCTAGTTCTTGCATCTTTAGATAGATTCCATAATATCATTTTCATTGCCGGTTTGCATTAATGGTTGCTTTGTTTCTCATTTTAACTTCTTTATAAAAATTGAGTTAAACTGAGAAAACCTGGCTCACGTAAAAGCAGAAGTTGCAATCTCCAGTACTGAGCGCAGACTAACAACGTGAGAGCTGATAAAAATGATTTTTCTTTCAGACCTCTTCTGAGAGTGATCAGCATAAAAAACAAACTTCCCTTAATGTGGATTTTTGTGTCTGCGTCATTAGGTAGTTCAACAAGTTTGGGCTTCCTTTTTTATTTTTATTTTTTTAATTTCCTGTCTTTTTTTTTTTCTCTGTACACAAATATATGTTCCTTTCCACATTTTGAAAATCAGAAAAACACTGGGGTTGCTTAATGTTTCTTCTGTGTCTCTCTACTCCATGAGAGGAACTACACTACCTACCATGGTGATGAATGTGGGAAAATCTGGACTCTTAACAAATTCGGGTTGTTTGTGGAATGTGGTTATTTTGTGTATTGCTAATAGAAATATCAAACACAATATTAAATAAAATAAATGGAAAAATAAGTTATCAGCACTGTGAAGCTGACACCTTCCTGTGTTGTCCTGCCCCCTTACTCTTGAATCTTCCTGAATAAACAGAGGAATTATAATCAGTTATAAATTCCTCACAAAGAGGGGGAAAAAGTCCAACAAAACTTTGCCCTCTGCTTAAAAGCTCTTGACAAGAGTTGAGGTTATGTGATATTAAAACCAAAATGAAACAATATTTTTGCCATTGCTTTTTAACAGTATATGATGAACAGAGTGAAAAATTGTTCTCATAGTTTTTTGTCTTAATATAATTAATGGTTTTAGATTTTAGAAAGCCAAGTTAGATCTGTAGAGATCTAATATATACCTATATGCATATCAAATAGATATTTGAGACCAAAAATATTAATGTTAGCATTAAAAATAAAAAGAGCTTAGCTTAGAGATGTTGTCCAAAATAACTAGGCTTTACGTCAGCTCTAAGAAAAATAGTGAAGCAAGCCAAACCAGGTAGACAAATACAGTAATAAAGCATTTATTGCTGGTAAATGGAATATTAAGTTCTACTTAGTTTGAACTGAATAGACCAAGATCAAGATAATCTCTGGATTGCATACACAGACTCCTTTGATCCTGGGTGTTTTAAAGGTGTTAATAAAAAATGGGTGTATGTTTGTTTACTTTTGTTTTTTTCCTTACTGGTCCTCCTATCTGTTTTCAGCCTCAGGAGAGCCTTCTGGCCGTGTTCAGGGTAGTGTGACAGTGGCTGGCTGGGTGATACAGGGTTTGTGAGAGACAGAGGTTGCAATTAGTTAAAAGAGTCTGTTCAAGCTGGTGTTGCCACAGGTTGAGAACAGTTCCTGTCTATGGCGTCAGTTTGTGCCATCCTTTATAAGTAGAACTGCAAAGATGATCTGGCTAAGAATGACCCTGATTGAAGGAAAGAGTTACCAAGACAGATTATTTTCCCAGTGCTGTTGATCACGGAGCCTACCTGAAGATGTGGTTGTACAGCATAGGAAGTGCTGCTGTCTGCATGCTGGGAATAAGTGACCAGAGGATTTGGAATCATAGAATGGTTTGGGTTGGAAGAGACCTTAATGATCATCCAGTTCCAACCCTCTGCCATGGGCAGGGACATCTTCCACTAGACCAGATTGCTCAGAGTGCCATTGAGACTGGCCTTGAACACTGCCAGGGATGGAGCATCCATTCTCTGGGAAACCTGTGCCGGTGTCTGGACAGCTTTCAAACAGCTGCTTTTTTTATAGTTCAAGGCAGGCTTAAATGCAAGTCAGTTCTGTCCTAAGCAAAGCCTAGGCACTGTAAATAAACAATAATCTGCAGGACTCAACGATTCTTTGTAATAGTTTACCAGTGCTAAAAGTGGCGATTCCAGTCCTCTCCCTCCCTGGCCCGTTCCAGTGCCCAGCTGCCCTCTGGGTGAAGAACCTTTTTCTAATATCACACCTAAACCTCCCCTGATGCAACTTCAAGCCATTCTCTTGTGTCCTGTCACTGGTCACCACAAAGAAGACATCAGTGCTTGCCCCTCCTCTATGCTTTCACTCTCATTCTTCCACATTTTGCTCGCATCTGCTCTATTCCATGCCATGAGCACTGGTGTTCCCACAGTGAGTCACAGCCAGGAATTACAGTCCATCTGTGGGTTTTTTTGTTGTTTCTTTAGTTGGAGCGGGGATGTGCATGAAGTACAATCTGTCAGCAGATTGTACTCTTGCTTGCCTATTCCACTGCAGGAATAGGCAGATAAAAAAGGGAGGAGGAGGAACTGGAAATCATCCCCATGCTTTTGGTCACCAGCATAGTTTAAAAATGACTGGATAGCCTCTGCATGGGAATGCTGCCTGTTTTTGGGCTCTTGCTGAGGGATATGACTGAAGGAATGGATTTCGTGGTAGGGAGGGACCCAGGCCTGTTTGTAGGTGCCACCCTTGGGTCCTGCCTTTGCTGGTGTGTAGAGCCCTGTATATGCAGACCCACATTGTCCAGAAGAACGACACACACATCTCTGAACATGCTGTAGTGTGCAGGAGAACACCTCTGAGTGGGATGTTACCTGTAGGATTTGCATTCATTCCTGCACAAATCTGATTTTATCTTGCAACAGCCTGTGCTGCTGCTACAGGTTATGGTCATCTGTGTTCTCTCTCTCCTGGCTGTGGCTTTTGCCTGTGCTCTTACACCATGGCTCTAAGTGCTTTCTTTCTGGAGTTTGGGAAGTGGGTTGTATGTATGGCCTGTGGAGGAATTCAGAGGACTATGGTTGGTGAATATTCTCATAGTCCTTCTGGACTGAACATTTATTTCAGGGTCTTCTGCACCTGGTGGTTTTCAGGGTTAGGAGGGAGCATAATTGTCTGTTACAGTTGCTGGGAGATTTCAAAATTCTGAAAAAGCTGAAGAGAGGGGGTAGTTGGGAAGTTACAACAATTAAAAGGAAAATCTACTCTTTAGAAAGTCGTACTCCTGAAGCAAATAGTTCTGTGCCATAAACTACTTACTAAAGACTTATCCACCCATTTTCAGCAGGTGGAATGTTAGTGTCTTAATGGTAATAGGAGAACCAAGCTGCTGCCTGTATAGACCTAATATATACCTGTATGCATATCAAATAGGTATTTGAAACCAAAAATATTAATGATAGCATTAAAAATAAAAAGGGCTTAGCTTACAGATGTTCTCCGAAATAATTAGGCTTTATGTCAGCTCTAAGAAAAAGAGAGAAGCAAGTCAAACCAGATAGGCAAAAACAGTAATGAAGCATTTATTGCTGGTAAATGGAGTATTAAGTCTACTTAGTCTGAACTATGTGGATGCCTTTAGCCTGCTAAAATGCTGAAAGAGTCAGAATTAGTCTGGGGAGTATTAAAACTCGAGTACAGCACTGAGTTGTGTGGGTCTGGCTGCTGGAGAAGTGAGAGCAGAAGATGATGTAGACAAGGTGAGATGGTAGGTTTGCAGAAGAGGCTTTTCCCACTCAATGTTAGCTCCTCTTTATCTGTGCCACTTTAAGCAAGTGATTCGACTGGAAAGAAAGAACATAAAGACTTGGCATAAGAAGGAATTTGGAATGGGTTTTAGGAGATACAGGAGCAGGTAATCTGATGGTTTCTGCAGAGACTACTGGAGGCCTTAGCACAGCACTATTTTGTTGTGTGAACTTCATCTGAGAATAATGGGCTACAACAAGAAGAGAGGGAGAAAGCAGAGAAATTTTAAAAAAGGCAGTTCTAGCCTTCCAAAAAGAGTGTATGACAGAGTGTTTGTCACTTCTCCCTCTTTGCTCACCAGTGTGGAATAGGAAATATGTTCACGTATAAAATGAAGTAGAAAAGATGGGGAAGGGTTTCTCAGGAATTTAGAAAACATGATGACACATGCTTTTCCAGAAGCTCAGAGATGTGTGGTTATGAGCTTATGCAATATTTTTGTATGATTTCTTTGAAAAAAGGAAGCTGATGACACTGAGTGGGAGACTTCTTCACATTTTCACTAGACCAGTGAAACACGAAAATAAGCCCACAGACTGCAGTTCTAAGGTGGGAGGAGATGACTGTTATCCTTCAGGAATAACCTTTTCCTTGTCCTGCTGCTGGGAGCCCTGAATGCCCTTGGGAGGAGCTCATCAGCTCCTTGCTGTCAAGCCTTTGTCCCACCAGCCAGCAAGAAGAGAGTGTGCTGAAGACAGAACTGCTCCCTGTGCCATGCAGAACCTGTGGAGAGAAATTGTGTGGTTTTTTCAGCTCTGCTTTCCTTCAGTCTCACTCCTGTGCTTGAAGAAGCAGTAACTTTGCTCTCATAACTCCAGCCTAGCACTTATGACTAACTGAAAGAGAGTAAAGACATGGAGGATTTATCTGGATCAACACCCAAATGCAGGAGGTTTTGAGTGGTTGGCTGAGCAGTGGTGGCTGTCCTTGCTTCAGCAAGCAGCTGCTGTCCTTGCTGAAGACTCTTATGAACAGCCACTATAGTTTGGCTTATGCTGATGTCAAGTCACCACAGCCTGGTTGTATCTGTGAGCCAAAGATACTAGAGGTAGAATTTCCCAGTGGGAAGAGCAGGGAGTTTTTCTCCATAGTAGGAATACCACAGGTCCTTAGGCAGTAAGGGATGACTTCTTGAGGAATATGCACTCCTGGGAATTGTCTTTGTGAAACAAAGGTCTCAAAGAAGACTCCAGGCTTTGTCGGATCAAAATAGTGTTCCACCCTACCCAGCACCTTGCAATCTTGTGGTCTCCAGACACAAAGTCTGGAGTTTCTGAGATCTTTTTTCTTCTGGAAATCATTAATTGAGGTAGGTGGAAAGAGATACTCAAGTAAAATGTTTAAATCTGAGGGTAGAATACAAAGAAAGCAGGTACGATGTGTTGACAAGATGTGGGAGTTGATAGCTTACCCTGATTACTTCTACAATCCCTGTGCCTGGAAAAGGTGACCGTGTAGGTGCAGACAACAAGAAGTTGCAACTCGAATGGTGTGAGAAGAGTGCTTTCATGGGTAAATTGCAAACAAATTCCATAGAAAGTAAGGCATGAAGGAGACGTGTGTGCAGTTCTCTAGCCAAGCACACGGAAGTGTGTTTCTATTGCTTGCGTTCATTTGTGCTGTCAGAGAAAGTCTGTGTTTCTGTGGTGTGGCAGAAGAGCTGAGGAGCACTGTCCTTTGCCAGTGGGAAAGGAAGGCCTAGCTGACATTCTGTCTGCCAGGATATAGGAATTGGTGGGTCCTTAAACTGATGGCATTTAGGAATAAATAAAAGATAAAACCCGGAATACTGGCTGTCACTTGGAACAGTTGGCTTGAGAAGTAGACATCTGAAATATTTGTTTCACCATGCATAGCAGCTCTTTAAAGGGAAGTTTTACATGTGCATATTGGGAATCCTGCCTTAATGTGAGACCTCATGTGTATCTTAACCATGCCCTTCCTTCAATATAGAAGATAAAAGTAACCAGCTATTGTGGATCAAAATTGATTCCTACATGCAAGTGTAACTTGAACTCAATACCAGAGTGTTTTTGTCTATGTTCCTGTCTGCCACGGCAGTGATCAGTGACCTTGCAATTGTTCTAGAGCCATTTGGAGCTGTTTAGAAGTGGGAGGTGATTGCTGAAGTCTGAAGCAGAGACACAGAGATGCTCATGGTTTAAAGGTTGTGGTTCCTTCCTTACAGCAGGATTTTGTCTGTTAGATCAGTATGAGGAGGTGTTTTTTCTCTCAAATGTAACTGTTTTCACTGAAAATTAGGGAAAATCTCTTATCTCTCTTCTGTTGTGGTTTACTTATTTATATTGAATGTCTGGGCATTTTTAGCAGAATGTAGTTGATTCAAAGCTGAGAGCAGTGGGGGTTTCTGAACAGCTTCATTCTTGCTGACAGCTCTGCAAGATCTCAGAGGATGAGATGTTGTTTCACACATACTGGCTGTGAAATAAACTTGCTTAAGTGACATTTCAAGGGAAATCCCTAATACCCCCATGACTTCAGAGCTTTGAACTCAGTAACAGTTTTGCGTCAGAAGTGTGCTTTTTACTAACTGTGAATATTCATACTAGAAAAAATACACTTTATTTGATCAGCAGGAACTTCAGTCTGGCTGTTCTGCAGCAAGATGCTAAAACGGATTTTGGTGGTGACAATTCTTCTTTTACTATTTTTCACCAGATCATGGGCAGAAAGCCTAATTCAAGTGAACAGAGGGAAAGTACTGAGGATAGAGTGGCTTAGGATAGGGAAGATCATTGGGGCAATTATTCTGCCTGGGACCAGAATGTGGAAACTGGATTCCTTTGCTGTGCCTGTCATGCAATTGTGTTGACAGCCTGGGTTTGGGTAATTCTTAAGTGATGTGTTCCTTAGTTTGCAACTTTGTTGTGCTTCTAACCTACATTTGAATGTATCTGATGTTGAATAGGGCATCAAGGTGTGTTTTATAAAACAATTGTTGAAGTAACTTTTTCTTTTTTTACCCCCTATAGCACATGAGGACAGTGAGGAAGTAGTTGGCATCATGGGAGAAAATTTTACTTTTCCAGTACAAATAGACCGAAAAATAGTGGAAATTGTCTGGAAGAAAAACAAGGATAAAGTGGCTGAATGGGAAGAGCATAACAAACCGACATATTTTGGTCATCTCATCGACAGGAGTGTACTTATGGAGAATGGATCCTTGACTATAGTTAACTTGAAGAAGGATGATGCTGGCACATATGAGTTAGTGTACCGGGTAAATGTGGAAGATCACCAGTTAAACTTCAAACTCAATGTGTTAGGTAAGTACTGGAAGAACTGCATAAAAAATGTGAACCACTGTTCACTTTAAAATGTCTAGAAAGGGCATTGTGTATTTGTCAAGGAAGCAAACAGAAACAGAGGGGGCTGTTCTTTGTTTTTAAGTTGCTTAGTCACTGTGAACAAATTTTCAAAGGTGGCATCTCATTTGTGTGCCCATCATTACTGACCTTGGGATGGCTTCTAGAACGTGTGTAGGTGGCAAACTGCACTTTCAGGTAGACAATGAAACTTTTTGAGCAAGCTGACCAGGTAATCCCAGGCATTATATAGCTATTAAAGATATTCCTGTGGGCATATTACACATGCCTGAACATCCGTGGCATCATCCTGTGCAGATCTACTCAACCTCACCAGTAGTCTTTGGGAAATATATCTGACCAGTGTGTCTATTAGTCCTGCGGATGGTGGACCACAGGGATTCTTGGACTGGGAATGGGAGAACCACAAACAGGTGGTTTACAGGTCACTTTCAGAAATACATATCTCTCTTCAGGCATGTGTGCACTTACCCCCACACTTTTGTCTATGCACTCTCCTGCTGCTTTTGTTGCTCCAGCCCTTGTCCTGTGCTGAAATTCTATATAGTTTATAAAGTAATAACTAAAGTAATTAGAATGTTTTAGAAACTAGTAAAAGGAATTTAGAAACTAAAGTAATACAGAATGTTTTCTCTCTTTCTAGATTCCCTTCCAGAACCTAAAATAAGTTGCAACACCAGTGATGGTAAACTTGTATTAAACTGTACAGCAAATTTCCCGTGGCTTCTGAATTACACTTGGAAGCTCAGTAACAATCCACAGAGTTATCCAAACCAGGAGCTTTCCATCCCTTTGCAGAATGTTGATATTACCACCAATGCTACATGTATCATTAAATATTCACAAACAGAAAGGAGCTCTGAAATCTCTTTGATGCAATGCCTTCCAGAAGAAAAAGGTAACAAATGTGTCACATTGCAAACACAGGTCTGAGAGGTTTGTTTGGGAAGCAGCATGGCCTTTGTAAGGTTTCTCCTGACTTCCCAGGAAATTGAATTTAAAGAGTAAAAAGCATCAGAAGTGATTTGTCAGCTAAAAGTGTGTATAAAGTTTATGAAAAGTATGAGGATGACAGTTTGATCCCCCCAGAGGGATACTTTTTGCAGGGATCTCCACAGAACAAAACCTTTAGCTGTGACTTGATTGAGTAATAATAAAGATTAGAAGGTCTTAGAAGATCTCTTCTGAACCTTTTGACCTTATGTAATTAATGCTAGGAACTTGTCCTTTTTGTACTGCTCTCCATGAATTGGAGTGAAACTGTTCAGCCATTTCAAGTGAGTCATCTAGCAGCCATAAGATCAAATAATTTCTCATCTAGCATGTACGTGAGTCAATAAGCATAGTTCCTTTCTCCTTCATGGAGATGTATAAGATAGAAAAGAGAATTTTCCTCCTGTTGCTTATTGCTTTGGGGCAGCCTTCAGCTTGAGGCTTGAATTTTTAGGGTTTCTTTAAACAGAAAGTGAGAATATATTTGGAACCATCTGGTTTGTAGGGTGCCTAAGGCAGTCCCTAACTGACAAAAGTTCTCATTTCTGTGCAAAAGTAATTGTCATGATTTACTATTGCAGAATTCTTCCTTTACTGGAGAAACTTGTTAGATGTGAGGCATGTGGCAGGTTGACCATGGCTGGTTGCCAGGTGCCCTTCAGACTAATCTGTCACTTCCCCTCCTCTGTGGGGCAGGAAAGATAAAATGTGATAAAAGGCTTATAGGTTGAGGAGGCAAGGACAGAGAGAGATCATTTGGCCATTCCCATCACAGGCATAACAGACTCGACTTTGGGAAAATGAGTTTAATTTATTGCCAGTCAAAATTAGAGCAGCATGATGAGAAACAAGAGCCAATCTAAAACACCTCCCTGAAACCCCTCCTTTCTTCCCAGACTCAACTTCGCTCCCAATATCATTACCTGAGCAGGTCTCCCTGAGCAGCACAGGGGGATGGGGAATGGGGCTTGAGTCAGCTCATTATACGTGTCCTTCCTCCTCAGGGGCAGGCCTCCTCACACTCTCCCCTGAGCCAGTGTGGGGTCCCTCCCACAGGAGACAGTCTCCATGAACTTCTCCAATGAGTCCCTCCCACAGTTCTTCATGAGCTGTTCCAGTGTGGCTTCTCCACAGGGTCACAAGTCCTGCCAGAAAAGGTGTCCAGCGTGGGTTCCTCTCTCCATGAGGCCACAGGTCCTGCCAGGAGGCTGCTCCACTGTGGGCTTCCCATGAGGTCACAGCCTCCTTTGGGCACCCACATGTTCTGATGTGGAGACCTCCATGGGCTGAAGGGGAATCCTTGCTCCAGCACCTGCATCTTCTTCCACACTGACCTTGGTGTCTGTTGGGCAGATTCCCTCACATATTGTCACTCCCCTCTCACCCTTGCTGTTGTTGCCCAGCAGTTTTTCCCTTTTCTTAGAAGTGTTATCCCAGAGACACTAGTCACGCAGTCACTGATGGGCTCTGCCTTGACCAGCAGCAGATCCAGCTTGGCATTAGCTCTGTCTGACATGGGGCCAGTTTCTGGCACCTTCTCACAGAAACCATCAAAACCTTTCAGTGCAAACCCGATACAAGATATTTGAAATTTCATTTGTTTGAAATCTGGCTCAGCCTTTCACAGGCCAAGAACTGGAATAGCCATTACCTTTCAAGTGGTGATGTGCCTTCACTGAAATGAGGTACTTAACATGTAACTGTCCTGGAGATGGCTCAGGGTTTTGCTAATAACTGACTTTGGTGCATTAATTTATTGAGCTTACTTTTTTAAAAATAGCTATAAAGCATATTTGGGGTTGTAGCTCTACTGAACTAGTGTATCATACAGTTACTTTCTAACTAACCGGTATGATTTCTTTTTTTATTTATTTTTTTTTTTTAAAGGAGACCGTTCTCACAAACGACACAGAAGTATTCTCATTTCCCTCTTTATTGCATTTGTTATCCTAGTGGTAATCCTAGAATTCCTGCGCAGGAAAGGTATGCATAACACTTCTGAACTGAGCTTTATGTGCTTCCAGATTATACTCATCTCATGTTCTGTAGAATGTGTGAAAATTTCTGACCATCAAGTGTTTTGTAAAATCAGTAGAAGAAACAAATCCAATTTAGGCAAAAATGAATAGATTTGAAGGAAATAATGTACTGGACATTCTATCACTAGGAAACACTGCAGTTTGCATTTGCATAGTTCTCCTTCAGACTGGATGTTTGATTTACAGTGTGTTTCTACTTACCAAGTATTTGTAGCCTCTCCCATTCTTACCTCAGTGTGTTTTCACAGCCTTTTTTAAGAGCATTATAAACCTGGCCTCAAGATCACATTTACTGTTGGGCCAGGCTTCTACCAGATCTGAATATCATCTGCTGAGTCCAATCTGACAGCTTAGTGTGGTCAACTGATAAATGGAACCTTCTGTGCCTCCTGACAGCTTGTGTTGCCATCATCTTGGAGTTCTGTATTTGTTTTTCGACCCATGCCTACACTGGATTCAAGTATCTTTTTTGTAAATCTGACTGTTTAATCAGAAATAGTAATTATAGGCTGTCACTGTATCTTTTGCTGCCACATTTTTGGATTTCTATGTTAAATTGTCTTCTGATTTGAAAAAGAGTGGCACAACAACTTGTTGGAGAGAGTCCCAAACAGGAACTCTCTCCTTGTGTTGGAGAGAGTCCCAAACAGGAATATATTTCTTCACCCTATGCCTGCTCCGCATGGAAAATTCATGTTGACTTCCAGATGGGGCCACCACTTGGAGGTGGCTGCAGGGGGAAGACTACTGGGGGCATTTCCCATCTGGGAAGGACTGATTGATGATATTTTGATCAGGACATAAATAGATACATATTGCATGTGGACCTTTTGCTTTCCTGTTCATTGTCCATTTAGTTTCTTTTGGCATGGAATCATAAAATAAACTAGGTGGGAAGATATCTCTGGAAGTTTCATCCAACTTGCTGCTCAAAGCATGACCAACTTCAAAGCTAGATCAGGTTGCTTAAGGCCTTGTCCAGTCAAACTTTGAATAGTTCCAAGGGTGGGAATTTCCCAGCCTGTTTCAGCACGTGTTTAAATGCTGAATCACTCTTGTAGGGAAGGATATTTTCCTTATTTCTGTTAGGGATTGCCCTTTGGCAACTGATAGACATTGCCTGCTGTTTTTTTCTAGGAGGGGTTTCCTTTGTTGTCTGTAGTTAGTTGTAGACTGCAGTCAGCCATCATCCTCTTATCCTTCTTCTTGAGGCTGAACAAACCCAGTTCTCTCAGCACCTCCTTGCTCAGCTCCTGCCCCTAGACATCTTGGTGGACATTTGCTGGACTAATTTCAGAAAGATGGTGTTTTTACATTAATTGGCAGACTAAAACTGGAGAGAGTACTCCACATGTGGTGTCCCAAATATCGAATAGAGATGAGGAATTATTTGTGTTGATGGGCTGACTGCGATTCTGCTAACACAGCCCAGTATTTGGAAGCCTTCTACTGCAAGGGCGCATTTTTCTGTGTAGTGTTGAGCTTGTTCATGCTTTCAGGTCCTTTCCTGCAGAGCTGTTTCCTAGCCAGGCAGAGCCCAGCCCGTAATGGTCCATGGGGTGACTTAAAAGATTCAGGAATTTGCTTTTGAATAGCACATCTTTTCTGCCAGCATGTTTCTCTAGGTTGTTGAAGTCAGTTTGAGTGGCAAGCCTGCTTTCCAGCATGTCCCTTACTCTCCCCAGTTTGATATCATCTGCAAACTTTCTGAAAGTGCCTTCTGTGTCCTTGTTTAAGTTGGTGGTGTTAAACAACACTGCTCTTGGTGTTAACACACAAAGAACGTCACTCAAAACTGACCATCAGTTAGAATCAAAACAATTCAGTTAATTCCCTTGAAACAATAAGGGTCTGAACATGCAAGAAAACAAACCTGTTATACCTTAGTAGGATAAACATTGCACGGGTATAATCAAACAGCAGAAGTTTGCTGTTTTAAGTATAAGACATATAATGAGAAATTATTAAGCTCCACTTTAGATTAGATTAGATGTGTTCTGACTTGTTGTCACAGGAGACCCATTCTGTTGATCTCTCACTGACTGTCTTTCCCTAAAACCAGTATTTCATTTTTTGTTCTTCCTCCAAGTCAAGTATTCAGTTTCATGTTTTCAGTGAAGTGTATTATTTTTTTGGTTTGGGGGTTGAAGAGGGGGATGGAATGGATGGAGGCTGTCAGCAAGTTTCCAAAGGTGCGAAACTGTTTCTGAGTAATTTCTCCAATTATTCTATTTGTGTGCAGGTATAATTACATGTGGAATAAAAAGAAGGACTGCTCAGAATAACAGTCCAGTGAATGGCTCAGGTAAGATAGTGTCAGAAATGTGTGGAAATCAGACTGGTGCTTGGTCTGGGCTTGTCAGTTTCTATTCTGTGTCAGTGTAATCTTTCATTGGAGAGGTAAAGGAGTAAGTTTTCTGTGAGTGTAGTTATTTTTTCCAGGTCATTAATACATACTTTCTAAAACAAATAAATTTCTTTATAGGAGAACATGAGCAACTTTTCCCTGGGAACAGCCAACAACAATCTAATTCAGAGGGAGGTAAGAAACCTCTATTGGGGTATTAATGTTTCTAAACACCTGCTCTTGGTTGGAGCAGGGAGTCTGATTTGTTCCGACCCTTTTTTGCAGGGTCTGAGCTTTTGAATTGGTTTTCAAAGTGTGCACATGCAGAATCAAAATCTCACTTGAGGTCCAGTATTGGATGATTATAGGGACCTGCACCTAGTGAATGTGTTGGTGGGGCTGGCAAAGATACTGACAGTGAATGGCCTGAGATTTTCCTGGTCAGGAGCTGTCTTTGGAGGTGAAATACCTTTCTATGTACATATACATAGAAATACAATGGAGAACTGGGGCTGGCCTCAGGATGAGGGCTGGATGATTTTCCTGGTCAGGAGCTGTCTTTGGAGGTGAAATACCTTTCTAACAATGGAGAATTGGGGCTGGCCTCATGATGAGGGCTGGAAAAGTGCACACTGTAGGGCAATCTGTCGTTCCTCTCTTCCTCTCCAGATCTCTACCTGGGCTTCTGCTCTCCATTCTAATCTGTACTGAGGTGGGTTTTTTTTTGGCAGGGGGGGGGAGGTTGTTTGTTTGTTTTGTTTTTTGGGGTTTTTTTTTGTTTGGCTGTGGATTTTTTTGTCTTGTTTTTTTCTTATTATTTTGTTGGAATGTTTTGAGGTTTTTTTACTTACTTAATTTGCAGCAAGATTGCTCTGTTTTCTGGCTTCTTGTGTGTTGGGGAGTGGAAATCACTCCATATAGTGAGCAGCTAAGGAAGGGGGCAACTCCTTTTGTCTGTGCCCCTTTCATAGGGGTGAATTTGGCTATCATATTCTAGCTTTGACATATATGAATTTTTTTTTGCCAAGATTGTGGTCTGTTTTTAGGAACCAAACAAAATTAACCCCCGAGGCAGTCAAGCAGACTGGGGAGAGCAGGGCAAGATTCTTAAGGAATGTTCTGTTACCAGACCAAACAGTGTTTCAGTGGGGGATGGCCAGAGCTCCTGCCATCAGGTGGGAGGCTCAGTGGCCTCTTGGACTGTTCGGGTGTTGAGCTCACAGTGCCTTCATGTGGGTGCTCAGTCTGGTACCTTACATTTGTTAAAACTCTGGTTTCTAGCCCATGGTTCAGAGAGCCTGCTGAAGTTGAGACTATGGATGAATCTGAAAGTGAGAAAATTAGGAGTATGGGTAGGGAAAAAAACCCATTAAATCCCCCAAAAAATCTCATTTTGATACTGCACTTAAATTTGCTTTAGAATGGTTCTATTAAAGATTCTTTAAGGTCTGCAAAGAGCAAGGGTTGAAAGTTACAGTGTTTGTGCATCTACTTTTTTTACTTCATCTGTGTTGCACTTTCTCTTCTCAGCTATCTCTGGCTCTTTATGGCAGATCTGTGCAGCTTTACCAATAGATCTACATTGGCAAGACTTTTGTAAAGTTGTAGGCATAAATATAAACAATGTTGTCATGGTCTGGACCTTAAGTGGTTGCTGGAGGGAAGTTGAAGTTGAAATTAATTGTGAGTCCTTAAAGTGCCATAACATAGTGGTTCTCAGGAATATCTTTAAAAAGTGTTATAAGGAAGTTATCACTTTAAGGCTGAGTTGCATATTTTGCAGACTATTGTGCCACGTCCATACATGTTTCTGGAAAAGGATTTCTGTTTTCTTGCAGCTGCGTTTTCACACACTGTTCATTGTGAGAATGAAAACCCTGAAGCAGGTAACAAGTGAGATGGAGCCCTAAACCAGAGGAGTATGAAGGGGAAAAGTAATTTTGCACATGGCCTTCTGTAGTCCAAGCCATATTAGCATGTCCTGAGTACAGAGTTTGCCATTCCCTTGTTGGCCTAGAAGAACCTGTTGCTTTAGGAACGGTAAATGTTGATGGGTAGATCAGTAGAGGACAAATCAGAAAGACCTGGAGGCTGTGTTTGGTAATCAACACAGAGCAACACCTTCTTGGGGCTTTATCTTCCCTCTTGATATGATGAGAATGATGCTGCTTTTGCCATCTGTGGGGAAAAAACTAAACATGGAGGAAAGATAAGAGCCTCATCACCGATTTAGAGATGGGATACTTACCAGCTTGCAAAATTCATATTTGGGAGACACTTAATTCAGAAATGTGCTTCTCTATGGAGCAAAGCCTGCTGTATCTTCCACTTGCTTTATGCTTTAGGAAGGTCTATTGACTGCATTCATCAGGCAGTTAAGCAAAGCTCCAGTTTTGTTTTCTTAGTCCAGTCAGTGCAAATTTTAAGGAAGTTCTGGGACCTGTATTTTTTCTAGAAGTTCTTTTAACTCCAAAGGGCTAGTGAAATTCAACATTATTGTTCAACTCGAGAACAAATGGCAGTTTTTTCTCCAGTCTTTTGCACTAGTGATTCATTCACTCACTAACTCTTCCACCATTTCCACAAGTGGCTAATAATAAGGGATGGGAGAAGGCAGAAGTCTTTCCTATAAAGGAAAAAAATCACCAATTATGACAATAAGGAAAAAGAAACTCAAAAAAAATCAGAAGCCCCTAGGGTTTGCTGTTTATTCTCCCTGCATGGATTGTAATGGGTATGGAACAGCTTTCTTTCATCTGAAGAAACAGGGATTGTGTAGCTGATGGACAATGTGTGGTGCACTGCAGGACTGTGTCATCACTTGTGTAACTGTTTCCATATACATAGACATGGGTATAGGAAAAGGAGGCTTATTTTACACCTGAGTTAAAGCAGAAAGGAGGGAAACACACAGTTCAGGCAAGAGAGAAATCAGGTCCATAGATAAAGGTTGTGTATTTGGACATGAGATGCAGAATAGAATGGGAACATCAGACAGGGGAGTTAGTGCACCTCTGTGCAGGGCAGCCAGCAGCACCTGGGGAACAGGCAGCCACTGCTCTAGGGATGGGAAATAGCAGACAAAGCTATGATGTCCTCTGAAACGTGTGTGCAAAGCAATTTCAAGCAGGACTTTTACTGGTAGCACAGCAGTACTTAACGTGCAGAGGGGAAGGTGTGCTCTGAGCTCTGGGCTGCACAGAGCAGTGGCCTGTGCTGGGGAGGGGCAGAAGCAATGGGCTGTTGTTCTCTGATCTCTTTTCAGACAGACCATTGAATGAGAATGACAGGACCCTGAAAGACAAGCAGATAGTTAAGAATGGTGTAAATCAGGAAGGTAAGTGCCTGTTCTATGGAGCAGTCAGTGTTACTGACCCTGCAGGCAAACTGGCCATGATCCCTTCATAGAATCATAAAATCTGGTGAGTTGGAAAGGACACATCAGGATTGACTCCAGTTCCTGCCCTTCAGATGACACCCTAAAAATCACACCATATCCCTTGAGAGTGTTGTTCAAATGCTCCTTGAATTCTGTTAGGCTTGGCGCTGTGACCACTTTCCTGGGGAGCCTGTTCTGGTGCCCAAGCAGCCTCTGGGAGAAAGAACCTTTTCTTGATATCTGGCCTAAAGCTCCCCTGACTCAGCTTCCTCTAGTACTGTAACTGGTCATGAGATGAGGAGATCGTACCTGTCTCTCCTCTTCCCCACACAAGGAAGTTGTGGGCTGTGGTGAGGTCTCTCTTCAGTCTCCTCAAGGCCACTGGTCATGAGATGAGGAGATCGTACCTGTCTCTCCTCTTCCCCACACGAGGAAGTTGTGGACTGTGGTGAGGTGTCTCTTCAGTCTCCTCAAGGCTGAACAGAACAAGTGACCTCAGCCCCTCCTCAATAAGGCTTCCCCTCCTTTCACCATCCTCATGGCCCTCCTTTGGATGCTTTCCAGGAGCCTTTCTATATTGTGCATGCACGCAGTAACCGTGCAGATGGCCATGATATGAATGAAGGAGGTAAGTGCCTGGACTGTGGAGCACTCTTTGTTCAGTGTGACTTTTGCCTAATGCCACCTAAGGGGTGGCACCCCGGGCACTGAGTTCTGCCTGTGCTTGGCCTTTACAGGGTGGGTGAGGGATTGTGAAAGCAGTGCAGATCAGGAATGGAGGAGAGAAGGGAGGTGTTGGATGGTGATCCCATGGGAGCGAAGCATGTTGGTCAGGGTTACTATTGTTGCCAAACAAATGGTCCAAATCCCAGTCAATGTTCTTGATGCATCTGGGGCAGAGAGGCAGAGTGTTGTGAGGTCCAGGATTGTCTGAGTATTGCCTTTGTCCTTGCAGAAGTGACCCAGGAGGCAGAAGGTGAAAATGGGGGGCACCCGGTCAACTCTTCCAGCTGCACTGAAGAAGGTATGTGAGGGTGAAGCTCTGTCCTGGGAGAGTGTGCTGACTGACACAGAGGCTGACTGAATTGATGTTCCTTTCTTGGAAAAAAAAAAAGGAAAAATGTCATTTTGTCTGTTATACAGTCCTTACTTGAGTGGTGTAACTGTGGGCCTCCCATACTAATTTCTAATTTTTGTATTGCAGGTAAGTGGTCACCAATCCTTTTGTGATTGTCTGCCACATCAGTAAAATACTTCGAACATGCACACCAAATTTATGTGTATTTATAAGTTATATATAATTATTATCCTATTCAAGTATGACATACATTATAAAATGTGCACAAAAATTTTTTTAAAAATTATAATGATGAAGTAAATAGTACTTTTATTTTTAAAATTTTATTACTGCTGCAGAATTATGTTTTTAATGGACTGCCTTGTGCACGTCCTCTTTCGAGTCTGCTGGTGCAGATAATCCATTTAAACATTCTCAAAATGCACAGCAGTGTGAAAGCAAGTGGCACCTTACTGCTGCAGTTTTTTGTTTTACCAAGTTTGCCACTTCTGTTGAATTACCAACCAAGCAATTGTGTCTATAAATTCTGGTATTTGCTGAAGATAATGCTGAAAAGAAGGGTGAAAAAATCTCCGAATATGAGAAAACATGGATGAGTGGGAAGGTGGGAGAGAGTATAAAAAAACAGACTCTGTGATGCAGACAAAACTGCTGATGAACCTGTCATGAAACCAGGAAACGGACATGGAACAGTCTGCAGAGGAAGGTGTGGTGTGTCGTAAGAACTGAGTCAGATCCTGTTAGTTGACAATGAGTAATACTGAAAGCCAAATGAAGTAACTCAGTGTATTATTCCTGGGCCACGTGATGTGCTGCTTTGCTGGGCTAACCAACTGTGCTCCTGCATCACCCTTAAAGGTTTAACATCTGAAGCTGGTCTGGTTGTTATGTCATGCTGAGGCACCAGATGCAGCTGTGCTTGCTTCAGTTCTGTTTGCAAGCTGTGTGAGAACAGAACATTTCGTGTGTTCTGGCGGTAGGTGGGGTGATGAAAACTGATGCTTATCCCTCAAGCTATAAAGTGACAGAACCCTATTTCATATTCAGACCCTCTCACTCCACAGACATGAGGAAATAGCAAACAAACACGCACACACACAACTGGCTTTTTGATCATGTTCTTTAGTATCATCACTAAGGTAAAGCAGTAAACCTGCTTGGATTTTAAACACATGAATCATAAAAATACTTCAAGCCTACCCAGGGACCTTATGAAAATCAGGCTAGGGACAGCTTTCTTTTTGTTATCACCTACAGAGTTGTGTACCATATGTCACCATACTTTGCTCTCCTAGACCATCTCCTGACATCTTGTCCTGGAGTGATGCTGAGCTAGAGATTAGTTGAAGGGACAGGAAGTGCTATCAAAATCAGAGCAAAGACCAAAGGGCATTTTGTCCTGGCTCATCCAGGTGGCTCCCCTTGTAGAGTTGCTATGTGTGCAACAAGGTGGAAACACCAGTGTAAGTGGGGTTGTGGGTGCTTTGCTGGAAACCAGCCTGGTTAGAGGCTGATGCATAGCTCCCCTTGTAGAGTTGCTATGTGTGCAACAAGGTGGAAACACCAGTGTAAGTGGGCTTGTGGGTGCTTTGTTGGAAACCTGGTTAGAGGCTGATGGATGTTTCATGTGATGAGTTAGGCTGGGCATGTAGTCTTGAACTTCCTACACTGTAACTTCCCTTGGCCTTCAGTATTCCTGTCAAATAAGAGCTGTATTTTCAATCCTCAAAAGAGAAAACTCCAAAAGCACCTGGAATTACTGTGTGGAAGAAATAGCAGCAGCAACATATGCATGTGTGATGCACAGCTGATATTGAGATTATAGGCATAAAATATTTGAAAGGAAGTGGTGTCTTAATTGCCTGATTATGTGATCCAAAGTCATGGAGTCAGAACAACTTCACAGGTTACCAGCTGCTTAGCAGGTGGCTGGTAGTAAGTAATAAATGTTCTAAAAGTGGTCCAGTTGGAATGTGCCTAATCATAAAGAGGTAATTTGGGTAAAATGTTTAGGGGCCATCAGATACCATTGGTCGTGTACCTGCTCTGACTGGATTGTTATGAGTCATGTGACAGTGTCTTGGTGCATCTTCACAACACCTCATTAGTATCTAAAGCCTGCAATATTCTCATGTACCTAGTTCAGTTTCTAGAAGAAAAGACCTAGTAATTTACCAGCGTGTTTTTCCTATTCTTTTGTTTCAGATCTTAAAGCATAAGCAAATAATTGCTTTGTTGCTCAAACAAATATGGAAGAAAAGTGGTAGAATTCAGTGATGAAGTAGGTGCTACCTTTTCACTTGAAGGGCTTCCACAAGCAATGAAGTTGTCAGAGCTGCATCAATAAGCCCCTTGAAGACAGGCTGAACTGTTTCCAGTGTTTATTTTTCTTCTTCAGGAAAGACAACCTCCTTTCCTAGTGTTACTATGTGAAGACAAATAGCATAAATCATGGACAAAACATGGAACAGTGTTTTATGTATGGTTTTATGTATGGTTTTAACAAGCCATATGTTTTGTTATGGTTTGTTATATAGTGTGTTTTATGGGGTTTTTTTTACTAACACACTAAAACCTCTTTGTAGTTAATATTTAGAGATTCACAAAGTTTTATATATTTGCATGAATGTTGTCAAATCAAAAAATGATCGGTTTTCACTTTTTTTATCAGTGCCTTTTTACAGTCAGAAAAAAAACTTCATCATTCAGCAGGCCAGATGGGTTTGCACTGGGAAGTTTGCATTTTCTAGTCTTGGTTCTGGACAAGCAGGCCAGATGGGTTTGCACTGGGAAGTTTGCATTTTCTATGCAAACTATGTCCTAGATTTCCCAGGTGCCTGGTAAATGGATCATCTCCTGACAGTGGTTCATTCTGTGATAAAACTACATTTCAGCTTGGTGCACTGGAACAAAGATGTTATTAACAACAGGTTTGGGCTTTTCCTAAAGCTTTTTATATTTTTTGAACTTTTAGGACTTTTAAGCCTTTCCTCTTCATATTTTTCTACTTACTCCTAGGAAATAATAGTATGTTTTTAAGTTCTTGAGACTAGAACAAAAACTTGAAAACTGAGGTCGTGTTATATAATGAAGTCTAGAAGGAATGAAAAAGAAAAACGCCATGCATTAGTATCTTCAGAACATCAAGCTATGGAGTGTTTTTCATTATGTTTACATGCTGACTGTTTAAGAAATTTGAAAGCCAGTTTGGTTCATTTTGAACATGGTATGTGTAAAGAATCATGAAGGTTTGACACTGGTAACTGAAGATCAGAATCTTCAGCTTTCCCCTTGTTTCGACTTTTGCCCTTTCCACTCCCACAGCTTCTTCTTCTATTTGCAGCTGTACTGCATGAGTGTACAGCTTGTATACTGTAAACTGTACAAATGTTCAAAAGTCTCTTTTGGTAGGACTAGACCTTTTATGTCTACTGTTCTCTGTAAATGTAATTTATTAAAAAATATTTAAGATGTAAAAAAACCTTGTCTTTTTGTAATATATGCATGCATTTTTTTATTTAACCTTAAAAGTTACTAACTGATCCACAAGCAAAACGATGTATTTTATACAGGTTTTTTATTTTTTTGTTTGATTGCTGGGTTTTGGGGATCACTATTCCTGAGCCAAGTGTCCTTATCCATTCCACCTTCAATAAATTTATCAGGATAATGCTGTCTGCTTCTCAATAACTTTTTAACAAGTCTCCACACAAATATATCCTTTGTTGTAGTTATCATGGTAAAAGCAAACCTGTAGCTTGTTTGCCTGCTTGGGCAAAGCCTTCTTTTCTGTTATTAATGTGAGAAATTATAGTAAAAAATGTTGGTAGAACTGGGTGAAACTAGTTCCAGAAACTATACCAGTTTGTGTCATGGTCTCCATTCATCCCATGCAATTTCATACTAAACAACACAGAAAGGTCTCATATAGTGTGGTTTTGAAAATTCTTTGACAGCTGGTATAACTAACATTGTTTCCAAAGCAAGAAGAACAGTCTTCAAAAATAGTAGGCGGTTGTCGTTAATTAACCTCAGTTGCTGGAAGTCTTCAGAATAGTTCGTGGAATTTTGGAGCTTGATCAGAAGTAGAAAAACCCATTTACATGGCAGGCTGACATAAGACCAAGAACTACAGGCCCTACAGTCTCTCACTGCCAGCTTTCACCCTTTTACCTTGCACAGGTTCTTCTGTGCATGAGAAACTTCTGGTAGAACAGCAAACCACAGTTTTCAAAGCAACAGTGAAGCTTTTTTGTTAATTGCTCTTGTTGTTTCTTTGGTTTTATGAGGGGTAGATTTTGGGGTTTTTTTCCTATAAGGATGTGAAGTCATACATTTGTGAGAATAAATTCACCTGATCTCCTGCTGGTTTTGGTGACAGTATTTGCAGTGCCATTTCCTGCATTCTTCTCTTCAAATGTCCTCGCAGTAACTAAATAAGAATAAACTTTGTTTTGCTGTGAAAAGCTTCTGTCCAATCTTACTTGACAGTGAATGGAAAAACAGGCAGTTTTCAATAGCAGAGAGTAGAAGCTCACTTGCAACACAGTTACTTCTGGCCTGTGAAAAACTTGAACCCAGGAAATGCTGACTGTATTTCAGGAAGTGAGCCTGCCCTCCAACATCCTTGATGCTGGTAGTAAGACCTGTGTTTGTTAATAAGCAAACTCAGAGTGTGTAGAGGCTGCTGTTAAGTACTTGTGCTCCTAAGACATAGCCTGACTGATTCCTTGGTCCTGACTCTCCTTGCTTTATGCCAGCTTTAACCTTTGAAAGCAGTGACTACAGAAGATGTTGTTCCTAATTAATCCCAGAATAAATGAGATCAGAGCTCGATATCTGCTGTAGAGCTGAAAGTGTGGATTTTGGTCACAAAACTCATGCCACAGTTGTGCAGGCAGCTTCGTGTTGTGCTGACATGCCCAACTTTCAGTTTTTTGCAAACA